CTAAAAAACAAAGTTTTAATTAAGAAGATATATTAAAACAGTTTGCATTAAGACAAGGTATTAAGATAAAATAAAGAAAAAGATCTGTGGAAGTGTATGAGTATCTGGACATATTCCTTCACATAGTTGATCTCTTGGTTTATGATTAAAGCTTCACTGAAGTTCAGAGGAGAAAACATAGATTGTTTAAAGTAAACTGAATATCCATATATTAAAAAGAACTGATTTTAACTAAAACTATATTCAAAATTTAATTTGAATTGTTTTATACTTATAAGTGTAAAAGCTAATAAAATAATCAAGCTTCTAGAAGCAAACCTAAGAGAATATATTCATCACCTTGTGATAAGCAAAAATCACTGGATTGAAATACAAAATTAAATAGTTTAGATTGCATAAATTAAGAATTTCCATTGTTCTAAACATGATTAACAACAACAAAAAAAGGCAGGCCACAGACTATAAGAATATATAGTCAACAAATAAATATGACAAGGGATTTGTATCTAGAAAATATAAATAGCTCCTACAAATCAAAAAGAAAAAGGTGGTAAAACTCATTTTTTTAAATATAAGCAAAAAAGTAAGTGGGGTCTTCATAAAAGACCAGTATGCATAAAGAAAGATGTACCATATTATTACAAATGAGATGTCATCATTCCCCTCACCAGAATCACTGAAAAGATTGAGAGCCAATGATATGAAACAACACATACTTATATATCTAATATTTCAGCCATTTTGTTATAGCTAAACATAGCCCTAGTAATTCCAAGTCACTTGTACCTGAGAAAGATGAAAAACATGTACAGGGATGTTTGTAATAATATGTACGAATCCTGGAAACACTGTATTGGGCAAAAGTAGTCAGGTACAAAAGAGTTTTGTGGTATGATCCTTCTTGTTTAAAGTTTAAAATAGAAAAAACTAATTTGGGGTAATGGGAGTAAGAAAAGTGATTCCTTGAATTGGGAAGAGTTAATTACTGGGAAGTGTTGGAAATGTTTTATATATTCCATCTGTATGGTAGTTATTTACACATATTAAATTATAAATTATATATATTATGTATAAATATGTAGTTATTTACATATATATGTAAAAGTCAATTGTGCTGTATGCTTTAGAGTTTTGTACTTTCTTGTATGCAACTGATTTTTCAAATAACTGCAAAGAAATTGAAAGTTTTTATCGTGAAAATTTCCAAATTTTTAATCAAATTTCTAGAGTACCATGCACTTCCATGTACACATAACCATATGTCAATATTTTGCCATGCTTGTTTATAACCTCTACTCCCAACTTACTTTTTTCCTTTAGTAACATACATCTCAGTATCTATAGCACATAGATATAATTTATTCAGAGTACATGTATGATTTTTTCATTCAGTTAAAGTTGTAGCATTTAGTATGCTTAACATTGAATTTCTAGTTTCCCGTTTCTAGTACCCGTTGTGTTTTCCTTTCCTGATCTGTTGACATGGAAATAAATCTCTTCTGCTTTTCCCCACTGAACTGATTTAGTTTGTGTGTCTCAGGGTAGTGTGGACTGAGCAGTGTGCCATTTACTTGTGACATGTTTAATCAGAGAGCTTCCTCTGTAGATGAAGCTAAATTGGAGGAGTGGTCACATTTTGTTTTTACTGCATACATATTTTATTGGTTCCTCTTAATTTGTCTTTGGATCCT